CTGTGCTCTTGCGTGTTTGTTGTTTTAATTACATTGTGAATAAACGTGACTTCTGCGATTAGATCCTGCCTCAACTCTGCTTAGCTGCTCCCGGCTGTGACAGCACCGTACATCAGTGCTCTTGGAACAGTGCTCCTCCAATCATTACACACTGAATGGATAGTGCTTCTTAAAACAGCTGTACAGTAATCCATCACTTTCTCTTAAGCACACTTTTCCATGTGACATTCTCCCCAGACATTCCCCCGACTCTTCCAGCTCAGCAACCTGGGCATTGCCCACAAGAAGATGATGACAGTTCTTTAAGGTGGATACCTTTCAAAGACAGTTGCTATGCTTTTGTGACTGATACCAAACCATGGAGCAGAGCAGCTAGACTCTGTATGACATGGGGTAAGGTTATAGATGGATTTTAAAAGCGGTTTACCCAATTACATGACAGGTGCAAAGAACAAAAAAGTAACAAAGCTTGTACTTCATTTTTCTTTCTCGTCAGGAGCATCTCTTGTCAGCATTAAGGATGTAGCGGAAGAGAAGTTCATAGAGGACAACCTTGTGCTCCTTGAAAGTTACAAAGGAATTTGGATTGGACTTTTCAACTCCCAGAAAGGTAATGTGCCAAATATACCTTCTCACATGAAGGAATCAATCTCTTCTGTTCAACTCCTTTCCAGTGCCCCAGAGTCTTCACACAAATAGTAAATGAACTCATTGGTCTAAAAGGGTTGGTTACAAATGAACTCACCCTGGATTATCTAACTACACAGGACACTGGTTATGGTCAGACTACAGCGTGGTAGATTACACTAACTGGGCATCTGAAAACGATTATGCAGACGACTATGAAGATCATTCTTGGAATCCTGAATGCGCAGCACTATCTATCAAATCTAAAAAATGGAAAAAAAAACATTGTGATTACACAGTCTTACCGTTTATCTGCAAAACCCCCAAAGGTACGTAATGTAAATTTTCACAATAGCATATTTCGTAACATGTTGTAGGAGTAGTTGTCACTTAGAGAAATGCAATACTGTATCTAAGTAACTAATGTTTTGAGTCAAATGTCCAATGGCATAATTGCTTTTCTCTAGCAGTGCTTAATTATGTTGGTTTCAAAAATCTAAATTTACCGTAAATGATCATCATATTTGTGCAATGACTGTTAGGTAACACAATAAAACCTGACCACCTTAAGACAAGGTATACTATACAACAAAGGTAAATAATGATAAACTGTGTTCTTATAGGATATAATAAATACAAGGGTGTTTGTTTTGGTTTGGTGTTTCATTTGTTACAATTTTATGTTCACAAATAACTGCATTTTTATCATTTCTGTTAGCCAAAACAATGTTGGATGTTTCTCGTTTCATAATTATATTTCTGTTTTAATCTCCCTGAAAAGCCATTAAATACACTATCATACATTTCTATGTAATATATAATAAGTATCTTGTGGAAAATGCTTTTTTTCCCTTTTACTTTAGATGTTAATATTTCATAAAACTATTTTTTTTAAATTAGTTTCAATAAACCACATGTCCACATATTGTGACAGTTTTTGTCAGAATTACCTGCTCCAGTCACAAAAGGTCACTTTATATATTTCTCTAGAAAATAAAGGTGGAAATGTTCCATGGCCTTTTACATGTAGGAATGTGTATAATTCAGAAGTTCACAAAGTAGACAAAAATTTAGCCACCGGGGTAAATCGTGACAACTAGCTCTAGTCCCACCTATTTTATTCCTATGAATATGCTTATGATTGTTTAGAGCAGGGGTGGGGAACGTTGATCCTGGAGGGCCACTGTCCTGCAGAGTTTAGCTCCAACCCTGACAAAAACATTCAGCTGCCTGTAACTTTAGTAATCCTGAAGACCTTGATTAGCTTCAGGTGTGTTTGATTAGGGTTGGAGCTAAACTCTGCAGGACAGTGGCCCTCCAGGATCAACGTTCTCCACCCCTGGTTTAGAGTAAAAGGGAAATGTAATAAAACTCCAAAATTGTATTACATTATCTATTTATCCTTTTTCTTTCCTGCAGTATGGAATCCAACCACTGAGGCCTCACATGCAGGTAATATGATGATTTATTCATAATGCCTTTTCTTGTGCATTTTCTGTCAAGAAATATTCAAAAATCTCATTTTATGTCAAGAAAAAATAAACACTTTCAGCAGCCTCTCTCAGGTGTTTAACAGTATATGTAAAGTAGTACAATTGTAGTTTGATATAATATGTATATCACAATTTCAGACTAGATAGTTTCTCTTATTATTTTTATCTGTTTTCACAGGTCCTGAACCTCACAGGGTCAAAACCGGTTTGGCTGTGTTCTTGAGCATTGCAGTGGTCGGCATATTGGGAGCTCTAGCGTATGTTTACTACAGAAGTTCAAAAAGACTGTCATTGCCTACATTTGAAAATCCCATGTATAGTAACACAGAGGCTGCTTATTCAGATAGTAAAGATAACAAAACATTGCTTAGCCACATTGATATCACTGGATAGACCTGTGTTTTATAATGTCCCAGTACTTATATATATGTAAGAGATACTGTACACTCAGCCGATCATTATCATAAAATGACAGGGATCATCGGGTTTATTTTTCGATAATGGCTGTACTTTATCCTGCTTCGTACATGGCTACTCAGCAAATAAATATTGATTTGGGAAGAAAGTATTTTATGTCAGAAAAAAACGCAGCTATGTAGGAATCAGTTGTTGTCAGTTATACAGTTTAGCAGTCATTATGCAAAAACAAATCTGACTGCAGAATGGTGCAAATGACTAATCAGAATCAAATATTTCATAGAGTCAACAAACATGAAAGGAAACCACTGAATTAATATTGCATTGCCATTGTTCTGTATAGTTTCCTGTGACGCTACTTCAAGGCTTTTGTACAAGTTTTTAAAAAGTTTTTCAAGTTGAATAAGAACTGTCTCTAAATAAACTTTAATTTTTACACTGTAATATATATATATATGTTTTTGAGCGAACCACCAGTTACACTCCACCTGTGCAGTGCAAATTTGTTTAAGTATTGAAAAAGTGTCTCATCTTTTGGGGTGCAGTGTCAAAGAAAAACAGGATAAGATGACGTAAGGTCAGCTGACTTGGCAGAATTTGGAGTATGAGGACAGTGTTGGAAACCAAATTACCTAAACTTTTAAAAATATTGTTTCAGAAATATATGCCCTCTTTGAATTAAATGACACATTTTATATATATAAAATAGTCAATAGTCCTCAAAATAGTCCTTCATAATATCATTCTTCTCTGACTAATCAAAGGTGAAAACATGATGACAGACACATTTGGGAAAACAATGCACAGAAACGGACGTGTGCATAATTGGTTCAGGAGAACATTTTAATAAAGACAATATACAGTCAGTTCAACTGAATACAGATGTACATCTATATTACAGTGCAGCAGTATCTGTACTCAATTTTATCAATCCAATATCTACAAAGGCATTTATGAGGTATATACAAATGCATAGAAAGAATTTTCAAGCTATAGTGTTGTCACAAACTAATGCATAGTACTCAGGAAACATGTATAAAAATGTAAATAAAAGTCATGGTTCCAGGTGCATTAAGAGTATGTGTGCAGATCTGAGTGCTTATATATTTTTCTCATTCCATTTTTAACATAACTGGAATCAAAACTTTTACCATGCTGTTGTACAAAAGGTATTTCGCTCAAGACATTTGAGTGTGCCTTTTTACTTTATGAACATGAAAGTTACGATTAAGAAAAATGAAATCCATTTAATATTCATACTGTATATATTTAAATAAATATTTAGAAAATCATAAATACATGCAGCTGGTTGGCTAAAAATTATCACATTTTATATATTATAAATATGGAAAAACAAACTTCATAAAAATCGACAGTGTTCACTTGCAATAATTTTGCATGAGCAAAGAACACATAGTATGGCTCGAGAGTTGATTTAACATGATTATGTTATCAGCTAAAGGTCTTTGTATTGACAAACAACGTATGACATTTACTAAATTCATTTTTGTCATGACAATCTACACCTGGCCAAACTAAACACTGAACAGTGTATACATTAAAGCCAACATAAAGCCAAAATAAAATTGGTTGCAAGTGGTAATTCACGCTGACTTTAAAGTTTAAGATTGTAATTGCTCTCAGGGTACGTTTACACAAAAACGATACTAAAAACGGAAATGTTTTTCCTTTATGTTTTTTGCGTACAGATGACAATGTTGTCAAAACGATCCCTGTTCACATGGATCCATGAAAAAAAAAAAAATCGCTGTTTTATGCATGCAGGCCAATAGTTAGCGATGTTACTTTGTAAAGAAACACTACAGGCCTATAGACTGAACACGCAATACGCATGCGCATGACGTCACAGTTTTCACAAATTCGCGTTTTTGTAGTTTACACAGATCAGAGATGATAACGGTCTCATCTTCAAAAAACTTGCACTTTGGAACCTGTTTTCAAAAGCTTGCATTTTCAGGCCCCCAAAACGGCATTGTCATGTAAATGAATGGCCAAAACGCACAAAAAGTTTCCTGTTTTATGTTGAAAACAGTGTTGTGTAAACTGCCCCTTGGTGTCAGCAAATGGAATTGCAAAGATAATGACTTTTCAAACAAAAAATTGGAAGCCTTGCATAATTCAGGTTAAAAATGGCCCCAATCTCACATTAAAAATGAGGTGGATTAAATAAATAAAAATGACTAGACTATATTGTAATTGTTTTTATGTTGAAAAAAACTGACCTTTCAATCACTGAGGTGGAAAGCCAACCATAAAAGGGTTATTTAGTTTGCCTAATTTTAATATAGCCAATAGCAGCACATACTTAGTTTTCATACAGATTATTTGTGGGTAAATGCTAATTCTTGTTACTATTTTAAAAACAAATTATTTTCTTAATATTTTCATACCTGCCACTAGAGTAGCAGCACGTCCCTCAAAAGACCAATTTGAAACAAAGATACAGAAACTAAAAAACGTATGTTATCTTTCTCAGGGGTGAAAAATAAAGATGATAAGAGATGACCAGTTTGCATGTGCGTTTCACGAAATTGTTTGAAAAAAATGGTGTATCTGACTGACCGTTAACAACAGGGGAAATAACAAGCAAGGATGTAACCACATACTTGGGATTGGAAATACCAAACGTGCTGAAATCGTTGAAAAAATATGGTAATCACAGGCCTGATAACAAGAGGCACATAAAGCCAAGGAAACACAGAATTATACGAATGAAAGGCTCATAATCAAGGAAAGTTAGATTTCGACCAGAGTAGGCAATAACACAGAAGAACAGATAAAGAAAGAGAAACCATGTTGTCCTGAGTACACGGTAGCCAGCATTTAAACATAGCAGCATTAAAGCAACGTCCATGTCAGTGATGAATGTACATGTCTTCAGTCCACTCCTCCGCCTCCACGCACCTGTCCCTCTCCCTGTCCCGCTCCCGTCCCTGGTAGTGATAGTGGTTGTGGTGTGGGTGAGCGTAGTGGTGTGATTGTTGGTGCGAGCGCAGCTGTATCGGCTGTCTCTGTTGCCTGTTGTGCTCGTTGTGCTCCAGCTCATAGTCCTGCTGCCCGTGGTGGGAATAATCCGGCTGAATGTCTGTGGTCCCGCCGCGGCGGTGGTGGTGATGTCGATGGTGATGGTTATGGTCCTTTTGAATTGTAGTCCTGTTATGGTAGACCTCGGTTTGATCCGGGTCGCCCTCACCCGGGAGAGCGCGCCTGCTCCGGGACTCTGTGTGCGAAGCGTCTTTAGTGGGAAGCTGCTCCATGTCGGTGGGCTGCTGCTGGCGCATGTGGTGCTGGTGTTTGTTGTGGGGCTCGGTCGGTCGGCTGGTGCTGGAGCGGTGGTGATGATGATGGTGGTGATGGTGATGGCTGCGTCTCTTTGGCTCACTACGAAGGAGCCTCTCCTCCTCCTCAGCCTCCTCCAGCACTTCCTCTTCTTCTTCCTCCTCCTCCTCCTCCTCTCTCGTCTCCTGAGCCTGGGGCAAAAGCTCCTGCTGGTTCTCTTGATATCCTTTTCTCTTGGTGGCGGCAATCTTCTTGCTTTTCTGTTCATCCTGTAAATGGGATACATTAAATGAAAATTAGAGATTTGTGGATTTTAGACAGCTTTGAGGCCATTTAGAAAAAAAAACCCAGACCAAAACAGTCATTGTACCATTTATTTTTCTCCATAGAGGAATTTTTGGGATTTTTAATGATAACATTTAAACTGACAGACCTATTGTGAGGTACAAGGTTGTGTACCTCACTAAGTACCCCACTAAGTGATGGAATATATATATATTTAAAGCCACCAGTCTGCATTATTTAAACATTTTTTTAAATAATCATGTTGAACTGTAGAATTCCTGGTGAAAAACTACATTATCGTAGATTCTACAATGAAATCTCAACTAATCAGAGAATCGAAACTAGCAAATTCTGCCATTTTAGCACCCGTCCACTACCATGAAGGACTGAGAATGTCTGATTTTCAAATACTTTTTTGCTTTAAATCAAAGTTTGTAATGTTGGGATTCATCTTGTAGCTGGTTGGTTTGATTCCTGGTTTATATATCTTTAACTAACTGCTGCACTCTATATTAATGACTCATCCTACCTTCACTACACAGATTTTTTCCAATCAGATGCTCTATAGAATTAAAATGTCCTTACATGAAGCAACGAACAGGAACAGAAGAATACATTAGAGCATGGAACTAGCAATGCCAAAGTCATAGGTTTGATTCCCAGGGAAAACAAGAACTTTAATGCAGTGTAAGTCACTTAGGATAGAAGTGTCTACCAAGCAGTGTTGGGAAAAGCTACTATTAGTAATGAGTTAATGCATTACAATATTGTGTTACTCCCTAAAAAAGCAATCATACAGGCCTACCAGTAAAAAAAAATTCAGACATCACCACCAACTAGTCGTTTATTGAAATATGTAGTAGTTTAACAAATTCCTTGGTGAGCCTAATTAAAAGTACAAGTAAGCAACTGCTTGTTTAGCCTTGTGCAAAGACACTAAACTACGAAAATGGCACTAAACTGCCCTACTTTAAAGTTTACTTACAACACCTAATAAGCTATTACTAATATGAAAAAGTAGAACAAACTAGTAGGTACTGACACTAAAGGCATTTTACCTCAGAGACCACCATCTCACTCACCGAAGGTCCTTTAAGCTCAAGTCTTCTTTAAATGTCCAAGAGAGTTTAGTAAGAGGTAGGGAGGAAATTGTAAATGTCACAGAATGACACACCACTTAGCAAAATTTCAGACTCTATGGAGTCTGTAGATGTTTCCAAGCAGTCATAATTTAGGACTTGCACAGAAGAACGAACAAGTAAACAAGTACATCTAATAAAATCTGCTATAATGTGGATAAAACCGGAGAGACATTCATTCAAATTAGTACTAAAAATGCAGTATACAAAAATATACAGCGTTGTCAGTGAGGAGCATATTTGAGATGAAATATGAGATGTGTGAGGAAAATAAAGAAAATGGTCTGTAATTTGAAATAACTGTATTTGGAAAATTGTGTGTATTTAGAATACATAAAATGCTAGCAATGAGATAAGCCTTTAAATGAGATAAGACAAAAGAGTTGGACATTTTATTACAGAACGCTACATAATACATAATGGGAAATGTGGTAGAAATGACACTGTTTAAGATTTTATGAATATATGTACACTACCTTTCTAAAGATTGGGGTCAGCTGTATCTTTTTTTCTTTAAAATTAATGCTTTTTAATTTAGTTAGGTCATTAAATTGATCAAAAGTGACAGTAAAGACATTTGTAATGTTACACAAGATTTCTATTTCAAACAAATGATGTTCTTTTGAACTTTCTATTCATCAAAACAATTCCACAAAAATATCAAGCAGCACAACTGTTTGAACAGCGATAATAAAAAGTATTTTTTCTTGAACATCAAATCAGCATATTTAGAATGATTTCTGAAGGATCATGTGACACTGAAGACATTTTAAAACGTAATGTATTTCTGTGATGGCAAAGCTGAATTTTCAGCATCATTATAGAAATCCGTAGGCTCTATCTGTATAGTAAATGTTCAATCTCAGTAGTTCATCTCCTGTTTTTCCTCATCAGAGTGTGTCCAGTACCTTAGCAGGTGTGGGGCTGGTGGGGAGTGTGTTTTCTGCCAGTTTCTCCAGCATGGGGTTGGGAGGTTCCATTTCAGGAGGGTGTGTGGCTCTCCAGTAGGCCTCCAGGTAATCAGCGATGTGTTCACAGGCATCTGACAGCTGGTTCTCATCCAAGATGACATCGAACAGCTCCTGTGAGAGAGACCAATAGTGACGTCACAACAAGTGACAGTGAAATGAAGCCAATAGCACTGCAGGGAGGCTAATCTATGTAAACGACTGCCTTGGGTGCTTTGCAACATGATGCAGTGTAAAAATAACAGTCTCTTGATAATCAGATCAGTTTGTGATTAGGCCCTCCAGCTAGACTTGAATTATAAATAAGGGCAGTGTTAAAAGAAGGCCATCAAAGAGGTTCGGAATGTGGGTGTTCATATTGATTTTCTAAAAAAACTGACTCTAAGTTTGTTAGAAGTTATATATCAAGAGCATAACAGGGTGACATTTTATATCACGATCATGGGACATTCTGTAAAGTTAAGAGGGCTGGATTTTAGCAAAGAGTCAACTGCTATCATATTTAAGTATTCGGATGGCCAACCCGATCACACTAAATGGGTCTCTATAGCACGCAATGTGTTTATCGTGTAATTTATACGCGAAAATGAGTTTTTACGTGCATAGGATACGCATGGGTTGGTTAGGGTAGGTTTAGTAGTGGTGTGGGGTGCGTGTGTATTATACGTTTGGGTAGAATTAGTGGTGTGGGGTGCGTGTGTATTACACGCAAATGAACTGCGTATCAAATGCACGCGAAAACTGCGTATCATATGCACGTAAAAACTCATTTTCGCGTATAAATTGCACGATAATACACAATGTGTGCTATAGAGACGCATTTACGTGAGAACGGGCTGGGATGGCACACTTACATTAGGACACTGGGCCAGTTTGTCTGCGGCCACCATCTGGACATTCAAATGTTTAGTCTGAGATTTGCCCCTGGTCTTTATCAGTCTTGTGAGAACCTGAACAGCAGATGAAAAGAGGAAGGAAAAAGGGACAGGAAGGATGAGTGGGAGGCATAGGGGGTGAAAGTACACTGGACGTTAGGTCATATCGGGTCACAAGAGAAAGGTTAGTGTTTTTCTGTAACTGGTCTTCTTTCAAAGAAGCGTTTCCTGTGTGAATATTAGCTACACATTCAAATGCTTCTGGACAGTGAATGAAACCATGCTTTCTGTAGCCTAGTGACAGACAGATAGATCTTATTCATATGACAGATATTTATCATTTTGAACAATGTAGTGCACTTTGAAAGGAAATAAATAAAAAGACAGGTGGTTATCAGAAAAACGACAGGTTTATCAAACAATCTGATATATAGTACCAGATCAGATATCGCTGTCCTGGCAGAATAATCTTGTTTCTGCCTCCTAGTGGCTTAAATTCATTTTTTTCCTATTGTAAAACTAACTGAATTCTTGAACATGTTAGCAAACATGGCATTTTTTAGCATTTTCTCAAACTAGGGAAATGACAGAAACCAGCTGGAACTGGTTGGTATACTGAATTAAAGCTGAATGAGGTTTTTTTCTGATGACTATCTATGACTAGGTATTTAATGGATGACTTTGATGGAAGTATTGAACATTATTTATTTCATAATAAGAGTTGAACATAATACTTCACACTGAATAAGTCCTGTTTTGCCATTTAAATCTTTAAAACCTAAAATAAATTGTTTTACAGATTATTACTGCAGAATGTGGTGCATCTTCATGTAGTGGTAACTAATCACCATTACAACCATATCCATACATATTCATTTAATTTCATACAAATTAAATGAACGATATGTATTAGGAAAAACATCATTTAAAATGAAAAATATATATATTTTCAATCAGATCAAACAGTGACACAATATACTTATTTTTCATATAAATGCTTGTGTACTTTTTAACCCTCAGGGCTTCTTCGTTTAGGGGTTACACTTAGCTTCCTCCCGGTCAAAAAAGACCGAAGCCTTAAAAAATTTAACTTTTTTTTCCCCAGGAAAACCAATGAAATATATTTTTGTTCAATAATATTTTTTTTATTATTATTTAGAATTTTTAAAGATTTCTATGATACTTTGCATTAATTATATAATTTTTATGAGCTATTTTTTTTACATTAGAATTAATATATATTTTTATTTTATTTAATTTTTCAATAAATGCAACATTTCACATAAAAATAGAGTGCAGGCCTAAAAAAAAAAAAAATTCAAGTGAGAAGAGCGTCATCTAGTGGCTTTAAAAATATATAAATGTGTGAAACGTCCTGTAACCACCTGTAGGCTGCCTATAGCTTCCTATATAAATACATAGAAAGGCTTTTTGATTCCTATTGTTGTTTTAGACATGATTTCTCTATCTTATTCGGTTTTTTTTTTATTTAGATATATATTTAGATATTCTAAAAGACTACTTTTTTCTTTTTTCTTTTTTTTTTAGATAAGTATCAGGTTTTGCATTATGATTACAATCAAACAATAACATTTGGTTAGAAAGGGAACACAATGCAAACATTTTTGTTACTCAGTATTTGATAATTAAAAAATCGAACAAAATCAGTGTGCATGTGTGTGTGCATGCATTTGAGCGAGAGTTTTTTTTCATTTATTGATTTTATTTTGCTTATTCTAAAAATTTGCTCTTGCAGTCTTGCCAGTTTATCTGTGTGTGTGTGTGTGTGTGTGTGTGTGTGTGTGTGCGTGGGGGGGGGGTTGTCTTATTTGCACTCTTGTTTTAGAGTGTCACCCCTTCATTGCTGTACACTTTTTTTCTGCACAGTGGCTGATCAGTAGTTTGTACCACCAAAAGTTTCTCTGAGGTGTCCTATTTTTTCGTATTTCCCATTCATTTCCTATGGTCGGTCATTTTTGACCGGGAGGAAGCTAAGTGTGACTATTTTTTTTACGACCCTTTAATATATCCGAATCATCTCCTTGATTGTTTTGTGTGTTGTTCACATAGGTAATACAACAAAAGTCACCAAGTTTCATCCCATTCCGATGAAGCAAAAAAAAAATAACATTTCAAAATGTAACAGTTTTCGGTCATTTTTGACCCGAAGAAGCCCAGTTAACATAGCCTGGGAAAACCTAGACAACTTCCAAATTTAGATTTGCTCTGAAAGTTAGTCTGGCAAAGAGCTCATTCAAGCCCATTTCCAATCCGTCGAAATCGAGGCACCAATCAGAAACGTTGGGGCGGGCTTTACACGATGACGACAGCGCTGGGATTTTGAAGCAGATTTTGTAGCCTACATTACAAAGATGGATGCCGCCGTCGAACATCACTCGTTCGAATCAGCTATCGCGTCTGTTTTAAGCGATTTGAAGGTTTCCTTTTTGTTAAAAACCGAGCAAAGAACAACACTCAGAGATGTTTCTGCCGCTCTGCATACGTCATCTCCTTCATCGCTCTGATTGGTTTTAGGTCTATCCGCAACGTCCGTTGGTGACGCCCCTTTGGACATGATTTGTCTATGACGCTTTGCCAGACCATAACTCAGTTACAACTGAGAATGGTCTGGTTTTAACCAGGCTACAGTTAACAAAGAATCCAGAAAAAAGTATCACGGATTCCCAAAAATATTAAGCAGCGCAACTGTTTTATCATCAAATAAATTGAGACTGGATAAGCATGAGAGAATTCGGTAACACTTTACAATAAGTTTCATTTGTTAACATTAGTTAACATGAACTAACAATGAACAATACTTCTACAGCATTATTAATCTTAGTTGATGTTCATTTTAACATTTATTAATACATTTTAAAAAATCAAAAGTTCTATTTGTTAACAGTTATTGCACCGTGAACTAACATGAACAAACAATTAACTATTTTTTATTAATATTAAGATTAATGAATGTTGTAAGAAATACGTTAATCACTGTTAGTTCATGTTAGTTAATACATTAACTAATGTTAACAAATAAGACATTATTGTAAAGTGTTACCGAGAATTCTTTCAAACACATTTAAAAAAAATTTACCGACCCCACATTTTTAAACGGCAGTATCTGTTTCATCAGTAAGCAAATGATTGATGTGAGAATGTTTGCAAGTTCTGTGAACATAATTTCTGACCTTAGGTGATGAAATCTTGACATACACCAGGATAGGGGCCAAGGAGGTCTTGCTTAGTTGGATAGGGTGGTTAATGGTGTCGGCATCCAGAACCACAAGCTGTAGGCTGCGTGCTAACTCAAAAATCCTCTCAACCTCTCCTTGGATTTGGGCTGTAGGGACAGATAAAGAAATGAATTAGGCTAGTCGTCAACCTAAAAATCCTTATACCATCTTAAAAAAATATTATTCTATCAAAGTACAAATGTACTAAGTACAAACACTGCTGAATTGCAGCCAAAAGCACTTAAAATGGAATGGAATGGGAAGCTTTTTTGTGTCCAGTTCCACTAATACAAGTAGAAAGAAAAGAAGAAATAAAGCTTTTTGCTTTAAGTGTAAGGTGAAAGTCCCATCTTTAAAACTAAACACATTCCATACTCAGGTCATGCAATATGTTTTTGAAAATAGAGATGATCAAAATATGCTGACAGAACAGTTCCTCGTCCACAGGAAGTAACAGAACAATGAAGGTTTAAAACTTGCTCTTTGCTCCAAATTGAGCAAACTTTAATGATAAAAAAACATCACAAGTGAGTTCAAAATCAGCTCACACGGTGCTCAGCGTTTTCTTTTTTTTCACATTTTTCTTTTTTTAAATGTAAATCATGAGGGGAAAAATCTAAACTATTTTAGTCTTTTCTTACATGATTTATATCTTGTTTTAGATGTTGTTTTCAGAAAAACAAGAAAAAAATACTTCTTAAGCAGCGCATTACACATACACTGAATACTTTGGCTTGCATTTATTTGACCAAAAAAATGCACAAATTATGGATATTTTGTGGTGTCTAACACAAGCCGAAGCTTTTAGGTGCAGTGACCTTCACTAAAAGTTTCAGGGTTCTTTGACACTTATAGTGTTCTCTAAAAGAGGTAAAGCAGTTTTACACCAACAGGAATGAGTCGGGGAACATAGACAGGCTACTGCTGTAATACATACCCGCGGCATCTGAGGTAAGAGAGCAATATGAGGGACAGAGTGGAGAGAACCAGAACCAATCAGATCCTGTCAGCTAACCAAAGCTAGCTACACACCTCAGATCCACACCCACTAATGTTAAACAGCTACTTAAAATTCACCCAAAAATGAAAATTCTGTCATCATTTACTCACCCTCGAGTAGTTGTTCCAAACCTGTATGAGTTTCTGTCTTCTGCTGAACTCAAAAGAACATATTTTGAAGAATGTTGGTAGCCAAGCAGTTGATGGGCCCCATTGACTTCCATAGTATTTCATTCCCCATACCATAAAAGTCAATGGGGCCCATCAACTGTTTGGTTACCCATATTCTACAAAATATCTTCTTTTGAGTTCAGCACAAGAAAGAAACTCATGCAGGTTGGGAACAACTTGAGGGTGAGTAAATTATGACAATTTTCTTTTCATTTTTCGTTGAACTATCTCTTTAATAATTACAATGACAAGATACAACTTTTTTGTGTTGTGAGAATTGCACTAATTTAAAAGCAGTGGGAGTTTATCTGTAAGTGGGATCTTTTTTCTTTTTTTTTTACACACAGGAAAAATAGTTTTATTAATCAGTATTTCTGTCTTGTTTTCCTAATATTTAAATACATAAAACTAAATAGATATACTTAATAAGAAAAATGTTATTTAATATTTTGTGCAGTTTTGCTTATCAAGTACATTTATCTTGTTTTAAAATATGAAATTATTACTTAAAATTAAGACAAAAATACTTTTTTTTTGCATTGAACTATCAAGCTCTGGTCCTTTTATCCCAGTGTTAAATAGATGGTAATTATTAATCAGCTTTATCAATACATGATCTAAAGTATTAGTATATGCATTTGTTTGGGTGCAATGACTAATACATTCTTTAGACTCTCTCTGATTCTGAATTAGACTGAATTAATATTAAGACAATACATTCAGAATATATTATGTATTTGGTATGGAATGACATAAAAGACCAAGTAGTGATTACCTAAACTAGAGCGGGTGTTGGAGCGATCCATGATGGCGTGCTTGCTGGGGTTGTTGAGGATCGACCGCTTGGCAAGTGCAATATCTGCCGTCACCCGGGTGATAGTTATTCTAATGATGGATTAACATATTAGAAACAACATTCTATATGACTACACACAATTATTACAACAGCAAATATTGACTGTGATGAGTCAACAGTCCATTAACTCCTTAATCATGTGTGCCATACCTTCCATCAAATCTGTGTTTTAAAAAATCAAAGAGTGCTTTTTGCATCATGTCCGTAACCTGTACATTCAAATACAAGAGAGTAAAAATGCAATTCATTAACACTTCATGAAAAAAACTAAAGTGTAGGTTCAGTTACGTACAGTAGAGGGCAGTACACATTTTTACATAATAAGTGTGGCATAACAGAACATAAGAACATTATTCTCTGCTATAAGACACATTATACACAATTTAAATTGAGAATGATACTTTGTTTTAAGAGTAAAATATTTGTATATGTCTGCTGAGCCACTGGGTCCTTTAAAACAGTAATGTTGAAAATCCTCAGAGACTTTGGACAGTGAATGACTGAACACTGCACATATGGAGACAGTGGCAAACGGCCCTCACCTCATAGCCCTTGAGCGAAGGCCCCATGAGCACCACAGGACGCATGGAAGGCACAACATCATATGCAGCCAGTTGCTCTCCCTGCATTTAAAGACACTTGTTGAAAATATGCTTAAATAAGCAGGCAATATATAAATATATTAACATAAATGTGTATGTTGGGGTCATATTAAAAGCATTATGTATTTGCTCACCGATTTCTTCTTCACTTGCTGAACTAAAGGTAAATATTTTGAAAAATTAAAAAATTTAATTACACACACAGACTTAAAATGATAACATTATTTATGTTATCCACATACATTCTAATTAAAAGCACTGATGAAATCCCAGTTTAGTGGATGATAACAATTTAGCAATGACAAACATTCTAAATTCAGTAATTTGTCTAATTGTTAATAAATACTGTGAATAATAATACGCGCACATGTAAATAAATAAATAAATAAATAAATATAAAGAAAGAATTTTATTTATAATAAGCGCACCTGTTGGAGGTGGAGCCGTTTTCTTTGCATTCAAATCATCTTTGGCAGCACTAGCCGCTTTACTGTGACAAGAAAAATGAATTTTTTTCATAATGAATGTTGAGGCCTGCATTTAAGGGTGCTTTCACACTATCCTTTTGGTACACATCCGGGTTCGATTGACATCAGTGTTTTTGGTTCATTTGGATGATGTTAACACTGTTTTCCTTGTCCGCATAAAAAGGGGTACGGTTCACTGCTGATATGAACATAATTGTACTAAATCGCGAAAGTGAACCGACATCTCATGACATATGATTTTATAAAACTGTGTTTAAAGGGGTCCTATTGGGCCCTTTTAAGAAGTCTTGATTTTGTCTTGATTTTGTTTTGGGGTGTACATTCATGCTTGATTGTTCAAAAAACGCATTATTTTTCACATATTTTACATATATTTTACATTATTACAGCATCTCTCTCCCCAGTCTCGAACACACCGATTTCGATGAAGCCCCTCCTTCCGAAATATGAAATGTGCTGTGCATTTGTCGGCCGCATACATCATAAAGGATGTCTTATTTCAGAACAGTAACGATTATAAAATTGACTGTTATTCCTAGTGAAGCGTAAATTGTTGTAATTTCTTTAATGACTTTGGAATGCAGTGGTCAGTTTACTGAAATGAAGCAGCCTCAATGACGTATGCGGCCCTCCGGAGGACGCAGCCTTTGAAATGAGACACAGCTAATGTCTCATTTCTGCGCGCCTTCAGCTTTTCAGCTTCAGCTTCAGGCCTACATTTGTGGCAGATAGATGCAAGTGCCTTTATGTGCTTTGAAAACAAAACTCGGGTTCATACCAGGCAATCGGAAGTGTGAAAGCACCCTAAATTTCTGATTCATTCATGCAATAAGAACACAAAGATACAAAATGAAGACCCCACACTGCTTTAAATTAGATTTGTTTACTTGGCCAGCGCTTTGGCGGCCTTCCTGGCCTGCACCTCTCTCCTGATTAGAATCATCTCCAGGTTCACTGGGCTGGGGATAAAACCAACCTCTCCCCCTTCCTTTACAGGCCGTCCAATCCACCAGTCATTATTAAACTTCTGTAAACACCAACAACAAAACAATACCATATATTAAAAATGATTTGATTTACTTAATGTAATGATTGTGCAGGTGATCTGTGAACACACTGACCTCTTTGATATGTAGGAAGTCTTTTGCTTCAAAGGAAACCCCATGCCCTGGTATGGGGACGTTGTCATCATCTGCAGGAGTGTAGGTGAAGTTTGTGCGAACGGCGAAAGCAACTGGCTTATACTGAATAATAGCAACAAAAAAGTAAGACTCTACATTTTGAAAAAACACATGAATGTGACCAATTTCCATCAGGATCCTTTGTGAGCATATGAACTGATGTAACAAAAAATCTCTGTCATTGAGGTTGTGTCCGAGTAAGCGTGTGAATGGCAGCAGACAGATACTTTGAGAAGGGTGCTGGAACTGGAAACACTGCTGATTTGAAAAACGGCACATGTGCTGCATTGCCCCAAGCAAGTTACTAATAATAGCTTTCATCCATTTACCTTCAAACCAATTGCAATGCACAAATTCATTCTTGAAGAGCTCCATATCAGCCCTGTGGAGGGCAATGCAGTCTAATGGCATCTACATGAGGCTTGAGGACAGTGCGGGTTTGAATAGATATGATGAGACTGAATGTACATGAGATCATTGTAATACAGCTCTATAACTTGTCCTTCAAGTGCTGTAAAATTTGCAAGGATAATTTATATGGAGTGCAGCAGGGTAAGCAACATGCAAACATGCAATCAGATCTGATTCGTCCATATTTACGAACCTTTACAGTAACAGGACAAAAGGACAATTGTAGAATTGTGTGTTATCAACTGAGATTTTGTGATAAACAGTTGGTTTGTTTGGGTAGTGATTGCCAACTAGGGTTTTGTGTAAAAAATTTGGGAATTCAGTTTTGTGGATTTCAATTTTGCTTTGTTAAACCTATAAAACTAAATTTTAAATTAAAATATGAAAGGATTTTAGGTTTTCAAAATAAATGATCACAATCTCAATCACATGCTTTTTTGTTTGTGTATTTATTTCATATTTATTATTTTTGAGAATGTCTTAAGAAAATCTGGTATAAATAAAAACATTTAATTAAAGGATTACTTGAGCCTTACTAAGACACAAACAATGTATATTTTTTCTATCTTAAAAAAAAAAAACAATGCTCCAATGCCAATATTTATAAAATTACTCTGTGCCATAACAAAATAATAAATGAATCAAACTAAATATTAATTCAAATGTGAAATCATTATATTATATTTTGGTATTTGATTCAAAATAAAGTGAAATGTCAGCTCAATGGCAGTCTGGCTGTTTATAGGCTGGTTTTAAGAGCCGATGCTCTGTGGGAGATGGCGCACTGAAGATGAGATGGCTCGTTCGCACAGCCAGGGGGTTTCATTCAGTTTTTAAAGCCTAGCTAAACTGGACCGATGATAAAACACCAAGCATTTGTCGTTGCTCATTTACAATTAGCTATGGTGCTTCTTATCAGTTTTTGGACTGTGTAAAGAATCAGGAGAAAAGGTACAAGTGATTTGCGTTTGTCAGTTGTGTGTAGACCATTGATTTGAGTCAATGAGTATAAGATTTAACACTGATGTGCTTTATCAACCAGGGCATTTGCTAATTAGCTTTTTCAACACAGCTACCTTGTTACTTTGACAGAGGAAAAAGAGCCATGCAAAATTTATGAGTACATCTAAAAAACGTGATATATTTCGGTCCTTGTGGCCAACGTCACTGGTAGCAGGAAATGGGTAGCCGAGAGAATTATGGACTTGCAATCTACCTTGGCCTTCTCGAGCTGGACTTGTGCATTCTTCTCCTTCTCCTCAGTGGCCCCTGTGTCCTGACGGTCCGCCGAACCCTACCACAGTCAAACAAGAGTAAGAACTACCATTATTATTATTATTATTATTATTACATACAGGCTCACTCTCTTTAACAAGACATTTCTCTCCATTCTGTCTCATCCTGAGCAGCAAGCACTTGCCTGTGCACATAGTGTCGAATGTAACACTCAGGAGAATTATGCTGAAACTATGCCGTCTTTGATTATAAAATAAAATAATAAAATGAGGCATATGCTCTGATATGTTGTTTTCAGTAGAGATCACTCCACTATATAATGACAGTGCCATCAAAGTCACAAATGATCCCAAACTTTCTCCTTCAGGGCTCCTTCATCAAATTTTATTAGCAACTCCTCACAAGGGGCACTGTTCAAAGTCAATGTCAGGCAATAAGAACTCAACGTAAAACCATTTAGCTCTGTCAAATTGAGCTTGTAAATTGATATGAGCATAATACTCCCTATTATTTTTTTAAACTAATGTATGGCAAAGTGCTACCACAAAACAAAGACTAGGTTTATAAAATTCCATAACATAAATGTCCATAATGTGTTCAACCCAGTGATGTGAAAATAAGTTTGATACTAAATCTTTTATAAGTCCTGCTGACCACATGGAGAGGTTTGATATTACATACCGTAATATATTACATGGCACCTTCACAACTTTTTTATGAAAAAACAAAGCTGTAGAAATGTGAATTCATCATCACATTGCAAATTTTTTTGGAGGTCTCCTACAATAGGTTTACATGCATCCAAGGTAAAAAAAAACACTTTATTTTCTCATAATATACATTGCACATAACCTCTTTCTCACAGTGTCTGAAACAGTTCGATCAAGGGTCCAGTCTCTCTCTAAACCCCTCCTTTCTAAGAGCATAATCTGCTCTGATTGGTCAGATAGTCCAATCTGTTGTGATTGGTTGACCAATGGCAGCCTGTGCCTGAAGCAAAACGCCCATTTCCATATCTGAATTTCAGCTCCAGAAGCTTCCTCAAGCACTTGTATATACAGTGATGCAAACAGTAACAAGTCCTCATCCGAGTTCATGCAAAGTGGATTTGCTTATACAGCGCAGAAAACAGCATCATCTCAACATGTCGACAACAACACAAACCAAATTCTTCCAGGTCTCAGCTAAAACTACAGTGTTTTGAGGGCGGGTAAAAGTAGACATTGTTTGCAAGCAGCCAATGAGGCTGGCATTATGCAAATTTGTAACAAAACAGGTTTGAGCAGGAAGTATGACACGAATTACTGACTCTTAACTCTTTCAGACAGTTCAGAATTGGTTCTTTCTTTTGGGAGACTATAACTCCATGTATCATGCATTTTGATCTTTGAAACTTTGGAGACCTTTTACATTCACAAACAGCTATATTACACACTACAACAAAGCTAATATCCGAAAAAGCATAACAAGGGCACTTTAATTTTTCCTAACCTACTTCTTGTATTCTATATGTCTTTAATCAGAATATTTGTTTAAGCAAAAACTGCAAACAAATATTATGACTATCACTATATATATAAATATTTAATCCTCTAGCCTAATTGACTTAGTTAACTTTAGCATATTATGTCACTAGATATGTGCATATGAGAATAACATTTTATATACTCTCATCCCTATAAGAATCAGTCCATTTCTAGAATAAGAGTTCAAATTTTAAGTTGAAAACAGTTTCGCAATGTCAGCAGAAGTCATGATGAGCCTCACTCTAGCACACTCTCCCAAAGGCACACCTTCACATGCTCACATGCACACTAACATGCTGACAGTAATGGCACAGTGACAAGCCCCTCGAGAGACACTGGTGCTACGCAGTCTGACAACGTCATATTGACCTTAATATAAGGCTGATAACCTTGCTGACAAGACCAGCATGTGTTGTGTTTTGGATGCTGGAGTGCTGATAAACAGCATGCCTATACCATTTTACTAGCTAGACCAGCACCAAACCAGCCTGATCCAGCATGGAAATTTATGCTTTTGTAAATCAGTGTCTTCTTTAGGGAAAGGAGGACAAAATGCGATCCCACATGAAATGATCACATCAAAGCAAAATGTTAATAAAAGTTGCAAATGGTGTAAGTATTTCATAAAGTCTGTCAAGAACATCAACGTGAGCTTGAATGTTATTATTAATGAATATTGTGAGTGTAACAAACAGGCTTGGATAAACTGACTCAAGGGCATGCAGCAGCTGGAAGATATGAGGCTAATTAACAGAGAAGGTGGTGAAACAAGATTGAGAAAAGGAGTGAATAAAATAAGGAATTGAGGGATAATTAGGTTCCCATAGGCACAGTCATGTAGAGGTGCTCGCTTTTGTTTACTCATGTCTGCCATAGACATCTGTTCACTCAGTGCCGCCTCTCCAGCAAGTCAATGTCATGGAGAGAGCAGTACAAAACGCTGCTGAATTATTAACCAATGCCACGCTCACCAAGATGCTCTTTTCCAACCACAGAGTTTAGTGGGGATTCGAATCGTGATGCCTCTCCATAATACTGAAAGGGAATAGCTGATTTTTCTGAGCCAGCGATCAGACCGTCTCTTTTCTATCTAGTCATTGTTCAAGCCAAGGTACTGCCATGTTATGCAAAAAAATCTACAAAGCAACTGCAGAGACATTTTGTGACGAGAGCTTTTTTGGACACCAAATTCTAGACTTCAGTGTTCCTTTATCTTCATAGGTACATTGCAGATGGGCTTGTGATTGATTTATTATTGCAAACCCAAATTAACAACCAACAAATTGAGTGACAGCTAGCCAAATTTGAATTCCCTCATCTGACCTACAGTGGCATTTCATGTAATTCCTCTTTGGAGAACTAATGGTTGCCATTAAACAAACCAAACCAAATGTAATATTGCACAAAGAGAACAGACTGTATCATTTTAATGATTTATTTGATTGCAATATTTAAGTAATGTCTTTGCCATGAAGCTTTGAACAAACTCTAAGAGAGAAAGTCTTCAATAGCAAGTCCGAATGTTGACTATGCTGCTCCAAAATATTTGATTCTTTTAAACAGTTTAGAGCTGATTTTGTGTTTTGGGTCATTGTCCTGCTGCATCACCCAAATAGGCTTTAGATTCAGCTCATGCACAGATGGTTAGACAATCTCTTTAAAAAGTTTCTGGCATGTTGCAAATTATCCAGTTCCTAATGTAGCAAAACCTGAACTGAGATGGACGATGGCATCATTGTTTTCTCCGAAGCTGCTGTATAAATGAACTAAATTTATAACTAATGATTTTTTACAACCGGAATGAATCAACACTGAACTTACTTATGCTGGACAATGACACTATTTTCTTATAGATCTGCTGTACAGCCCAAACAAACTTTGTTGCATTATTTTCCTGTTATCACTGAATCTGTTTAGTAAAAAGCACTATATAAATAAAGGTGACTTAACTTGACTCGACTTAATGTAAATTCCTACTACACCTTTTATAATACTGGACTGATTGAACAGACCAGACAGTCATCATTTGCATTACTGTATTTTAACTAAATAATACATTTTCTAAGACACTAAGTCACAGCACTGTATCTTAAAGTAAATTCAGTGATTGTCTGAATTGCACATACTCAAACATGGCAAAGAAAATTAGTCCAAACGCACTGCGGCAGCAAATTATTGCTTAAAATAGAGATCAGAGGAGAGATTACCAATTATCGCCACTGGTTTTATATGAGTATTTTTAACTTCCAAACAAGTATGACACCTTATCATTTTTTTGTTGTTGTTAAAGCTACAATTCATGCAATTGGATAAAACATTAAATTACAAACATTTACTATAAACGTAATTCAGATTGATGATATTATGAAATACAAATGAGGAAAATTCCTTCTATCAGTATTTTATCAATACAACCGAGGACTGTGTGTGTGCCTGCATTAAAAGCTGTAAGGGATAGAGGAGAACAGACGTTGCTATGGAAACCTCAAGAAAAGGAAATGTGCTGGCTATGCAGTAAATTTCTTATGAGGTGTATGATTTTTTAAATCTAGATTTCCCATTAAAGTACAATAATTGTTCTAATCATTAAAATAAGTAGTAATGAAAGTTTTTTTAATCCATACAAATAAATAAATGAATTGTGTTGTGTTTTTTAATAATTAGGATAGTTAAACGATTGTCATTAATAGACACAAGTAAGTAACAGTATCACACTAGTGGATTTTGCTTAGTCTACTGCTATAACGGTTTGAGTCCTGGGCCGAACTCCAACATTCACCTACTGCAACCTGTGTGACTCCTGCTACCGCACCACAGAACATGTCATAAGATTTGGGTCAGATCCATTTAGTGAGTCAGCACCTTTTACTTCAACACTGGGAGTAAAGCGGGAGCCACAAATGTAGAGAAAAATATTCTGTCAGACAGTAACACTTTATGCTGTATTACAACCATTACAACTGAGAGTTTAATTAAATAGATTCAAGGCTAAGTTCGGCCTCAGGTGAATGTATGGGTGAGGATTTCCTGAGCTTTGAGTAGACAAAACTGAGGACAAATCTGTGGATGGTGGAGCAGCACACTTTCTTATTCGAAACCGAGTCCTAATCTAATTAAGACTATAAGATTAAGATGTCCTGACTGTTGCTAAATGAACTCTGGCTTGTCGCCCAGGTATTCAACTGATCTGTATGGCTATGCCAAATGTTACTGTTTGTGCACTATAAAGTAATGACTGAATATATATATATATATATATATTTTTTTTTTACAATTTATACTTGTAATTTGTAAGTAAGTGATGCTATCATCTAGAAATAGATAGATAAACATGCAAGTACAATAAAGAATGTCTTATCAATTTTATAATTCTTCAATACTAGAAGTGGCATCTCTCCATTTTAAAGGGTTAGTTCACCCAAAAATGAAACTCAACCTCATGTTGTTCCAAACCTGTAAGACCTTCGTTCATCTTCGGAACACAAATTAAGATATTTTTGATGAAATCTGAGAGCTTTCTGTCCCTCCATTG